GAGAGGGGTTAATACAGTCCAGACACACTGACTGGACACTACAGGACATTAACACTGCACTGAGAGAGAGGGGTTAATACAGTCCAGACACTGACTGGACACTACAGTACATTAACACTGCAAGTCAGTTATTGAGATAACCAGTTGCAAATGCCAGGCTAACAGTTGTTCATACACTGCAGAAGCCAAGAATCTTCTGCCAGGAAAGTCCAAATAATTGTACTCTTGTTATATTTTATTAACTGTCTATGCATTATGATGAAAAAAACAGGTTTCTGCTGCTGGTGCTGGTGGATCTTCTCTTCTCCTTGCAGCAGAATTGAAGCAGTGCCCCAGTGTGAAGACCAGGGGTACTGTCCTGCTGTCCTTCAGGAAGATGTTAAACTGAGGTCCTGAGTGCAGATCATGACAGCAGGGGCATGGATCACAGTGTCCCGGCTCAGTCTTGCTCTGGTTCTGAAGAGTGCTGTGTGCACACACACTAACACACTAACCTGGTGATGTAGTTGCCCAGTGATGCCCACAGAGGGACGATGGCCACTCCAATGGCAACAGCAGAGGGTACCAGGGTGTAGTATCGCTCCCAGTAATTGGTGGACACAAACAGGGCGTAGATACCAGAGGCCAGAAACATCATCCATTTGGTACCCAGGAACCTGAGAGGGGAGGGCACAGACAAGGCTGAGCAGAGTGCGTGGACTGGACACACCCACACCTCACTCACTAGGCACCCCCCTGCTGCCCCCAGGGACCCCTGCCTTTCTCACCGGATCAGCACAGGGGTGTAGAGCAGAGCCACGATGGGAGTGACATTGATTCCCATCAACATCTTGTTGTCAATGTCCTCCAGACCCAGGTTCCCATACTTCACCTCCCGGTATGTCTCGTCATAGTGCAGGATCAGCTGCATCTGCAACAGCCCTGCAGCACAGCAATGATATTGACACTGTAGGGTCAGCTGCATCTGCAACAGCCCTGCAGCACAGCAATGATATTGACACTGTAGGGTCAGCTGCATCTGCAACAGCCCTGCAGAACAGCAATGATATTGACACTGTAGGGTCAGCTGCATCTGCAACAGCTCTGCAGAACAGCAATGATATTGACACTGTAGGGTCAGCTGCATCTGCAACAGTCCTGCAGCACAGCAATGATATTGACACTGTAGGGTCAGCTGCATCTGCAACAGCTCTGCAGAACAGCAATGATATTGACACTGTAGGATCAGCTGCATCTGCAACAGCCCTGCAGCACAGCAGTGATATTGACTCTGTAGTGCAGGATCAGCTGCAACAGCCACAAAGCCTCCACTCACTACTATACAATGTTATCGAACTCTACAGCAGTAGTGATGCTGGCAGTTGGCATGGTGTTTCTACTGACAGTTCCATTAACACTGGTGTGACTCTCAGTAATGAAACTGTTGCCAACACTCATATTGACTTTACTACAGCTGTTGGTGCTCATTACCCAGGTAGACGCTGTAGGTCAGCATGCCCCCCACGCTGGCTGCCACAACATTCTTAATTACACACAGACG